TCCAATCGTTGTGAAAGATTCAGTCAACTTACTGATTTATTGGTGTAAAATTTTCCGGAATGTTTTTAAGCGTCAATTCAGTGGGCTAATTTTTTACTATTAAGACAGTTTTGTGGAGATTGAAACAAAGAGTTAACAGGCGGTTCAAAATTCTTTGTTCCGAGTCATCAAACATATGTGTGACCTGGCATTGCCATTAGGGAATATAACTTTTTTTCTGTTAGCCAATACTGGTCACTTTTTCTTGTTTTTTTTTTTCAAGCGGAGCAGCTTGTAATAGACAATTCTCTTCCAATCCTATCAAACACTCTATAAACCTTGTTTGTCAGTCACGAAAGTCGTTTATGGAGAGTAACTTAACTGTGATCATGACTGCTTGCGTTGAATATTCTCGTATTTAATCAGTTTTTCAACCTCCATAAAGTTTCGCTTCAAAAATGGCTCGATTGTGAAGCGTTTTATCAGCGTTTCACTAATGCTTATTCGGTCAATGAAATTTTTTTATTATAACTTATGTGATATCCAAACATTGAACGTTTTTAAGTTACCTGGACAATATCTACTTTATTAAAATTAGATATTAATTTTCAATAAAGAAAATGTTCGTTCAAAAATATATCAATGAAAATTGCAGATACTTTTTATATCATCCGACACAACACAAATTTATAATTGCAGTTTTAAAAAATTTCAGATGACATTATTTCAGTATTAATTACAAATCTTTTGCAGAAGATTGTTCAGAAATCAGTTTTTGTTCCAGAAATCAAAAACCCACAAAAGGAAAAGTTGAGTTTTTCAGAGTCTTTCAAAATATAAATTATCTTAGCAAGACACACGACTATTGGAAACCCAAACTTCATAGCTTTAAATATCAGCAAATATATTACTCACATATTTAATTTTGTGTTACTGATAATTACTATATTGAAAATCTTGCTACAAATAATGTAAATAAAAATTAAATTATTCGTAGATTTATTTAATAGTTTTTCATTATAAAACATTACATGACACTGACTTCTATGTATCGTAAGTAAAAAATTATAAGTTCAGCTTAGTTATTGCGTCACCAATGAATCATTCTTCATAATTAACTATCAGCACACCTAAGCAATATTACCTCAAGTTAACTAATATTGTCATAATGTTATTAGAATTCTAAATACAAAATAATAATATTTTGTGAATGACTTATTAATATCCTTTCTGCTATGCTGACCTTTGCTATTATCTCCAAAATTATAAAAAGTACTTGAGCCAATTTGTTTATTAATGAAACAATAAATATATTCATATGATTAAATTACATGACGTGAGAAAAAGTGTCATGACATCGAACAACGTCATATATATCAAATCAACTACAGATGTAGAGTAGATATCAGAAGTAATAATATTTTGTCATCTAAAGAGATAAAAGTGCGATAACGTTTATCTAATTTGTACCTCAAGTTACATGTATTTAACAGAGAAAGTGCGGATAAATTATCTAAACTTGACATAATTTTTCCAGATGAAATAATGCTTAATGTCAGAGAGTGGTATATATTACTAATTTTTTAACAATTGCAACAGTGACTAGCATTGAGCACTCACCTGTCACACCTTCTACATTCCCAGAGAAGTGTGACTAATAAGTTACTTGTTAATTTTTACAAGTTATTAGATTTTTCCATGTATGAAGTAAATATATGTTTTTCATTGCACAATTATGTAATAAAATAAATATATATATACATATATATACATATATAACTATACATCCTATAGTAATCAATGTGTATCTGTATATATATTCGTTACGTATTAGCTTTCAAACCATTCATATGATTATAATAAACGTTTAGCAAATTAATCTTTACATGTATAAAATAGTTTTTACTTAGATTATATCAACGATAGTTCTATCGGGAACATAAACCATATAAAACCTACTTGACTGCTTTAAGTGCAGTTGTAAAGCACTTCAGGTATATATCAATTGCTAAAACTACTTAAATACTGCTATAAAACATAGCATATTAATTTTTATTTTTATTTCTATTTGCGCTTCAGGATCACTATCAACTTCTTCTACTACCACGTAGCGAACTTTTTTTACGGCATGTATGCAACGGGCTTATTGACATTCTTCACTAGCTTCCTAACAACCTGTAACACCAACTTTAAATAGAGTTACCTATTAGTAAAATATCATCTAATCGCAGCAAAGTGTATAAGATTTTCTTGGGGTGCAATATCTCAAACAATTAGAGGACTCTTCAAAACTCTAGTTTCCGAACTTTCTGTGATACTAGAACATACCAGTTTGAATATGCAGTACTCTTCAAATCAATTATATTCTGCTGTAACTGACTAAAGATTTTTATCTTATTTTTTTAGATTTTATAAGAAACACACAAAAACTTGATCTTAAAATAATTATAAACTGTTTCCTCAATAGATAGAGATTTATGTTTGACATATTGTTACTCGTATACCATTCCACATACCTATTATTAAATGGGGAGTACAAGGCAAGGCGATTTCGGTGGTATATTGTGATAAGAACATTTTATGTAAATACATACAAAACATAAAAGAGATTGTACCCAGCACTAGTAAGAGAACACAATAAAATATGCTAAATGGCAATAGAAGATTTTATCTCCATAAAGATAGTGAACTTCATGAAGACAGTCATTCAACTCAGAATATTAAATAACACAAATATATGTAAGAATTCTTATCTTCGTATTTTGCAAAAAAAAAAAAAATAGTATTTATCATAATTTCGGCTACTTAGAGTAAATCTTTTTGAATTATTTTTATATATCAAAATGTAAGCAGAAGTATAGATAATTTTTTTTTAAATTATTATTTAAGATAAATTTAATATTTTTTTAAAACTACTATCTTATAAATTTATCCTAAGATAATTTTCATAAATAAATTTTGATTAAAAAATGGTAAATGAAGCATGTTATATAAAAAATTGGCTGTTTCAATGGATGTCCATTAAAGTACATTAACAAATAACCACACAGGTACTAATAGGTTCAATCGACAAAACCAAAAAAATTTGTATACATTAATGACTTATATCTGCTACGCCAATCTATAAAATAATTTAAACTTACCGAATACAATCTCTCTATAAGGTCAGCTAGAATTAGTGGCAAATAAATATAGAGCGACTATTGCATCGGACCTATTCCTTCATACCATTTTGTAGTCCATTATGTATTTAAGCATAATAATGTATCATAAAGTAATGTAATGTTAGAAAAAATTTTACCAAGTCTATTCATATGTATTTAAAAGCATATAAAACTCTGATAATATATGTTAACAAACTATAGCTGTCAAATTTCGATTTTCAAATCAGTTTTAATTCTCTAAATCGAGTCAAATGTGTAGACTTTAATAAATCGTTGTCAGTGTTGAATTCTATAGATTTGTTTACGACATATCTATATCTAACATAGTGTCTAATATAAGAAATGTTTCTATAGAAGTTTATATAGAAGTATAGAAAAATATCGATTGATAATGTGACTCAACTCAACTAGGATTATATTAAGTTCACAAGGTATTCAACGATTCTGCGCGCTAAATTAATTTGGAAAAATATATTAAATGCAAGACCGTTTCATTGGAAACAATGTTTTAGAGTAGCTATAGTCTGTATAGTTGTAGCGCTACAGTATTAATACAGAAGGTCTATTAACGTAACTTATGGCCTATTAAGTTAAGTTAAATAACTTTGGCAGTTAGAGTGCATTACATCACAATGGATCACACGATCCTTTTGGGCTTGAAATGTTAACATGATACCATTTTGAAGTCCTAAACAAGCGCATTCTAGTTTTCAATTTTCCAGTTTTTTAGTAGCACTGGACACTTCTGTAAAAGAACACAAGTAATAATTTTTAAGAACTTCGCTCAGTTTCTGGCTAGACTGTGGCACCTTTAGAAAAGATGTTTTACTACTTTTTCTTCATTTTCACATCTATGAATTCTACATTATTCATAAAATGGAATTATTATACTAAATTTAAGAGTATGCGTACAAAATAATCAGTGAGTGGTTATACGAACTACGACCTTAGTTACTCTAGATAGGCTAAGAAAATTTCTTGATTTTTTCGTATGAAGTTTAGTTCAGATTATTGTGGACATTAGACAAATTGATCTTTATCTTTATACACATAATTTACAAGTGACGATAGATATTTCGATATTGCTTCAATCTACACACGGTGAGAATAAATACGTTGCCTGGTCAGCTCTAGTAATTTAACAATTTCATGTGACTTTTTAGCACTTTTTGCTACTCTCCATGCAACTCTGCAGCACTTTTTGCTACCTCACATGCAACTCCGCAGCACTTTTGCTACTTTACATGCAACTCTGCAGCACATTTTGCTACTTTACATGCAGCTCTGCAACAGTTGTTGCTCCACTGCATGCACAGTTTGCCCACACCTGAACTGCGTTTTCTGTCATTCAATAATATTCAGAAAAAAATTTGCTTTGCTTTTGGCGGCTTACACACCTCACGCCCGTAGGCCAAAAGCGACAGTTACCGTTAAGTGTTAAGCCTATTTACCATAGAACGTATCTAGTGACCCGATTTATGGTTAAATGCCTCAACATTCGTCTCCGTCGCTCCGGCTGTGTCTCACGTTTGCCTGTTTGTTTAGCATTCGTTCGACTAATTTATTGTTTGCACATCCGTTTTCGTCGGAGTTTGTTTACCGGCGTTCGATGTGTTGCTGGCTGCCATTGTTTACTCTCCCAATCTTCAGTACAACATTGCGGTAGTTTGTGGATTGTAGATTGGGGAAGAGCACGAAAGCAAATATTAGTTTTCATTTATTTTTTTTTTTGTGTTATTATTTTTTTGTAAAAATTAAAAATATTTTAAATGTGCAAAATTTCATTTTTTATAATTTTTTTTTTTAATTTTTTTTTAAATTTTGTTTTATTAAAAATAAACAACAGAATTTGCTTACCGCACAGATCAAATCAAAAGCGAGCACAAACTTTTTGACCGTTGGCGTTGATGTCATTTTGTTGTTTGAATTGAGAAATCTTTTTATGCTAAATTGTCTCACAAATCAAAAAAAAAATTTTTTTATTTTTATTTTTTTTATTTGGATTATTTTTTTTCGATCTTTGGCTACGTAAGCGCACAAATATTTTTAAGTTTTCAAAAATTTCAGCAAAAAAAAATTTCTTTTATTTTTGTTTTTATATTGAAATGATTTTGGATTCACTGTTGTTGTTGTTATTATTATTAGTGTTGTTGTTATTGTTCCTTGAATTCAGGTTTGTGTGCTTCTTCTTTTGTTTCTTCCACTTCTAATGGTAATTTTTTATTATCCACTGTTGTTGCTGCTGCAATGACTCTGGTTATTGTTGTTGTTGTGTAGAAATTGTTGCACCGCGGTTAAGAAACTATAACACTCGTTGTTTACTACTTGAGGTAAAAGTTTGTGTGTGATGTGATTTTCTTTTAATTTGAAATAAATAATTTCACTAAATTTTAATTTAATTTTTTATTTTGAAAAAATTTTCTTATTTACATAATAAACTTTAAAAATGCAAATTGTTTTGTTAAGTTCTTAAAAAAAAAAGAAAATATTTTATTTTCATGTAAATAATTTTTAAAATTTATTTACATATGTTTGGTTAGCATTTATTTTTCTTTTAATAGTTTCATGACACGCATACGCACGCTTTTTACTTTATATTTTCAAATTCCAAACTGAAAAGTATCTTCCGCACCGAACCGAAATTCGAACCTCAACACACAACGCGTTTCTTGCTACTATTCTATTGAAATGATGAGCCTGATTAGCAAAGCAGTGCGCTTACCTATACTTTGTACTCATATCTGTGTATTGGTTACAACATTATAACATTTATTTTCTAGTGGGCATAATCGGCAGCACTTGAATTTCCTACTAGTGCAATAATAATCACATGAACTTAACAAAAGCTCCGCCATGTTGTTATGTTATAGCAGCAATGCATAAAGCTTAATTATAAACTGTTAATATATACAGTTTGAGTAGCATTGCAAAGTTTTTAAACCGATAAAAACCGTTTTATTATAATAAAGTTCTTTCCATCTACCTCAATGAGCGATTTCCACCGTTTTTCCACACGTTTCTCACAAGAACCCCTTAGAATCCATCCCATTGAATTTAGATTATCTAAGAAGTCTTTCTTCTTTACCAATGAACAGTCTGATAAGCTGTGAGTGAAATACTTTTCAAAACACATTTCTTCTGCACGCCAAAGTCGGACATTCAAAGAGAAGTTGTTTAATGGTTTCATTTCCCTGCAAGTTTCTACAACTTCTGCAGTAAGGATTATGAGGAATGCAAATAACTATATAATAAATAAAATTACAATACATCGAATTGTTCGTCAAATGTCATACACAAATGCAATCTTTACATATATTAAAATAAATATATTGGGTGTAAAACACCTAACTCAGTATATTAAACTCTAATGATGAAAGTTATGTAGCATATAAATTTATTAAACAGTATGCGAATTACTGTTTACCTCGTTTAGATCAGCACGAGATGATATCAATGTCTATTGAAAAAAAAATAATTCTCACTCAGTTTAATGCATTTTTATTATACTTTCTTTCTTTCTTTCAATGGAGTCAAAGGAATTGATATAGTTTAATAATTTCGTTAGATGAAAAGATTGCTTACTAGTACAAGCCAGTAGTATCTTAAACTGTAATTATAGAAAATTCTAAGATAAAAGATGTAATATTAAATTCTAATTCCATTTATTACATGGTATTTCTATTTATTTTATTTTAATTTTTTCGTTTTTTTTTGTTTTAAGGAAATATTAATATAACAACTGAAAAGTCAATCGAAATTTAATAATTTAGGAGTTATATTTCATCGCAACTCCTTTTTCTCTTTTGTTAAAGATAGTATATTCTTATATTTCCACACTCGTTGCAGGTTTTCTTAAAATGTGGCTGGTACAATCCTAAACGAGATTAGAATATTGAGACTATTCATTAACTGTGAATGGAGACTTTCATGGAACATGGGCATAAATTGCCATTTACAACTTATGTGACGTAGAAACAACTTATTCTTTATATATGTATAAAGAGAAAACTCCTTTACGGGTACTCATACTTAAAAGATCTCTTTTTCTAATAAAATTTCTTTTTACTCATATTATTTTAAATGAAAATAAAATTAAACTCACGCTCAAATAGCTACGTTTAGTTGACACAAGTAGCAACTCTCTTAAAAGCCATGAAGATCAGTGCATGTAGGAATGGATTAAGCACTTGTTATATCTCGCCAGTGAAAGAGTTAATTCGTTAGGAGATTAAAACGGATAAAAAATTATTGGGATTTCTAAACCAAACAGCTGAAAAAGTGAGATTACAACGAGTTATAGGACTACATACCTCTTGTGATTGGGACTGTCTTTAAGATAATAATAACACCGCTACCGTTCAAAAACTTTGGTTCGATGGAAAATATATTAACGATTTGATGTAATTATCATGCTGTATTTTAAATTCTATGGATTTTTTTTAATTCTATATATTAAGTTTAAGAATAGATTCATTATCTTAATTAATGTGTGTATTTCATTTATAAATATGTGTATATCACAATATACTTAAATGGTACTAACTGCCAGCTAATATCAGGTCATTATGAATATTTAGGGCTTAACAAGCGAATAATAGTTGACGACAAAAAAAATCATTGACATAGAAATCAATTTTTCAAGGGTGTACAAATAAAAGTTGAATATTAGTAATGTTTTCTAATGTCCTGTCAAAAATAGCTTTATTTCTTGTAGAGCTTTGGGGGCCCTTTGAGTTGTGGGTAATTGTGGGTACAAAATAAAAAAAAATTCAATTGCGGTAACCATAAGGCCTAATATGAAACTAGGTCACAACGAATGCCCATTAAGGGTAAGTAAATTATGTCCAACTCCTTAATATGAAAAGGTGAAAAGTGATTTTTATTCGATATTAATATTGGGTATAAAGGATTTAGTTAAGATAATCACAGTTGATTTAAACTTTTTGGAATGAATTAGAATTTGCATACATATATTTCTATGAGATAGACAATTACATACTTTCATTTCCAAAACGAAGAAAATACACCCCTATAGAAGTCATACAAGAATAAGTTCATTGATGTTACTGATTTGAGTTAATCATTTAATTGCTTGAAGGAGACCAAAATGTTTAAAAAGATTTATTATGATTCCATGGCAGTGTTTTAAAGTACCCTACCTGATTATTAAAATTTTTTTATAGAAATACGTCTATTCTAAACCGGATATTCAGAATGCGGGCGTTAAGAATAGTAAAGTCTGCTCTAGCAAGATGTCCATGCCGTTTAGTAGTGTTTATAAACAAGTGGAAGGAAAGTAGGCCGAGTCGCTTCTATAATCTTGACTTACAAAAAGAATGTTGCGAATCAGTGAGAGTTAGACATAGAGTTAGCATAAATATACGAAACAAGATTTAAATCTAATTTAGTTCCAGATTTTGTGATCTTTATGCATAAATGATACGAAACAACTGATTGGGCTTAAGTTAGTGAGATATTGGAATTAAAATATTCTCATATTAAAATATTAGAATGTTAGAACCCTAAGCGGCTAGGTTTATGCTCCGGTGGTACCTGTCTTTACAGATACCCAAGTCCCGTTCGTTGCCCCCAAACAAACTGAACAAAGTGAATGGATGTGTGACTATAAAAACCACAACCACATATGGACTTAATTACGTTGAATAGATTTTAGTTTGGAATTCTATTCACAAATCTTCGCAGTATCAACGTACGTGAAGAATTCCAATTAAGTACATTGCAATTTTTTTTCCAGCTGTTCATAACTACCCGATATTTTGCTAGTGTTGTTTGGAAATTCAAAGCATTGAGCTTTGGAATACACAATATTTGTGGGACTTGTGAGATCATTTGTAAAAAAAATAATTTAAAGAAAGAGAGAAGCACAGACAACTTACGTAGAAATGTCCAACATAAAACAGGAAATCTGTAGCAATTTTAAAAATTCAAAAAACAGCATTTCTTCTACCCAAAGTTCATCTTTCTAACACATATCATCATAATGGTCTCTTAGTAGTTAGAAGATATCCCATTTTATATGATTAATTTTGTATGTGGAAGAACTTTACAGTCTTACTCTCTCTCTCTCTTTCTCTCTCTCTCTCCTTCTTTATCTCTCTCTTGCTCTCTTTCTCTCTCTCTCTCTCTGTCCCTGTGTACTTTGATTTGTAGTTTACATATGAATGAAGATATATTGTAGATTGGATTTCGATCAAACGGTCAAAATTTTTGTGGACATTTATTTTATATGGCGTGGAACCTTTTGTTATATATACCAGTTGTCCTCGATACAACTAGACTTAATAATTTTATTGAATAATTTTACTACTCTGGTCTTCCTAAATCAATAGCAAACAAAACGAAAATTGTTTTTTTATATTTCATTTTTACTAGATTCTTCTTTTGTGTAATTTTACTTAAAAAACACTATAAAAGCCTATAATTTAAAGCAAACCTTTTAAAACCTGGTTCTAACAACACATTTACTAAACTTATTCGAAAGTAAGAAAATGTAATTTGAAACACATATGTCCTGTTTGTAATAATAGTTTAATGGTATCTTCAATTTATTAAATATTTTGGAAAAGTTTACATTATGTTTAAGGTATAAAGGAGATTCAAAATATAAAAACGTCTACATATTTTTTTTTTCGTTTGTGTCCTAACAATCAAATATTTGAGTCATAATATTATTTAACATATTACAACATTTAGTAGAAAATACTTGTACACATATAATTTATATATATATATAATATCAATAATAATATAGTAAATAAATTGTATATAAACATTTATAAATGAAGTTTCTGTAAGGATTAACATTATTATTGTTCGTTAATATGGAATATGTAATATTCCTTACATTAATTTATATTCGATGTTATGCACTCGTAGTACACACTTAATTTTTAATATATATTTTTTTTTAATTATTTATGCATGATTGTTTGGTAAAGTAAAGTTACAAAAGAATTGTTAAAATACATTATAAATTATTATTTGTTGACTTTTAATTTAGTGTGCATTTATTTTAAGGATAAGGACTTGGTTTTTCCTTTAACAATTTAGAAATTTTATTTCTTTGTATAAACTAACAATGTTTTAAAATTTCCTGCACTATAGCTTAAATATATTTCATTTGTATTAAATTTTTGTATCGAATTTTCTTCTTTTTTTTTATTATTATTTTTTATAATTATTTTATGTGCGTTACGACAAAATTACAAAAAATGAGAATGGCTTTTTATTTGGATTCGATTTGAGTATTCTTAATAGACGTTTCGTCGTTTGTAGTTGCGCACATTATTAGCCAAGCAACAGGCGAAAATGAAGCCAACAAGCTGAAAGGACATAAATAAATTCATTAACAACGAAATTAATCAAATCAAAAATGTATGTTATTCACATTGATTTCAATTCAAGGACTACACGCTTGACAGAAGCTCAATAAAACAACAACAAATAGAATATTTTATTTACACTTACCTCAACTACAATAAGGCCCAAGCCAACGTGTCTAGCGAGGTCAGTACTGCCAGACATAAATTCTTGGAATTTGCTGCGACAACCACCGTAGACGTTAAGTGGATTAAGGCAGTTTCCTCCCTCACAACAACTTTTTGGTACATTTGGCAGATTAGTAATATAGTCAGTTATGCCATTCTTACCGCAGCAGTGTAACTAAATATTAAAAAAAAATGGAATATAATTACCATCAAAATCATACAACCACAAAATATTTTAAAATATCTTACCGATTTTTGTATAGCATCAAATATTCCATTTTCACGAGAGTCTTGTTCCCAAGCTTTGTCGATAACATCACCCATGGCATCTAAAAATTTATCCTTATTCGTGAACAACAATACGATGATAGTTAACTGCAGTAATAACAAAATCAATAAGAAGACAGCATAGGTCATTGTCATGAAGACAGATTCACGTATTGCACCACAGCAGCCAAGGAAGGATATGAACACAACAATTGAGGAAATTGTTATCAGACCTATTGGCATAATAGCCTGCGGTGGGAAACCAGTTTGTCCATCGACGACAATAGTACCAATACTATTGAGTATAAGAACTCCATAAACAATACCCAATATGCCAACCAGCTAAAAATAAAAAATTCAAAATTTTAATCAACTTTTATACGTATAATAAAATGCTTAATAAGTAAAAAGAAAATAAAAAGTCTATCGGATTTAAGGATTAATAGTTAGTGGTTCCAAGAACGGCCGGGTCTACGTCCCGGAGCCACTCGTCAAAGACGACCAAGTGCCGTTCGACCACCCCCAAAGGGACTACACAAGCAGGTCCCGGCGGGTTACAACAACAACATTAATAGTTAGTAACTTCGATGTAGTCAATAAGAATGCATTTCAATAGATCAAAATTGAGATAATACCTACATTAGACAATAAATAAATAGAGAGTTTCTAAAAAGTAGTGAACCACAACAATCAATTAAATTTTTTGCTGACCATACAGTTGTTTTGAGTATTGCCAAATAGGAATCATCAGTGGTCTTGAAATTAGTGCTTATAGTTCATTATTCGTAAAGAATTTTTTGAGACTGCTAGTCCCAAGGTTTGAACTCGTGCCCTGTCAAAGTTGAAGCTCGGAGTCAATGTTCATTAGCCAACTGACCCTATGCCGTACTTAATTTGTATGTATGTTTGTGGAGCTAATGAAGATAAGTGAAAGGATTAAGATGTGTATAAGGTGCCAATCGGAGCTAGCCTGGGTATACCATAGGTGCAGGAATCGTGCCACCTGAATGGCAAGGAAATATAAATCCATAAGGTTCCAGTTGGTGCGTGAATTGGTTTCCGCACAGTTCACTATTTCTTGTGAAAGTTTTTTTCAATTCTTTTTCTGTCAAGTAGCTCTTGGACACATTACTACAGAATGCACTGCAATCAGAAGAGTTGTAGTTTGTATAGCTTTCATTATAACTGAGTATGTTAAGGCTTTTAATCAATTTCAACACAGTTTAGGGTTTGCTGGTGCACAGTTTTGGAGTGGTGAAGCCATTGTCACAAAGAACATGCTCTAACCTTTCAATATCTGATCCACTAATTCGACCAGCATTGAAAAGACCAAACATATTTCCAATATAATATATATGACAAAATCTTTAAGTTTACCCAGCTTAGCATCTGTTGGGAAGCCAAATTGTGTTACTTGTTGTTAAACTACACTATTTCTTGATGACTTTATTCTAGTAACATTTTGAAGTTAATATACAGAAGAACTTAGGATCAATGAAGCGCATGATCACCGCTTTTGTTTTACAATATAATCATCTATTACCCTGATGTCCCTCAAACACTAAAACTTTAAGTAATACTACTGTATTAAACGTATTCAGAAGATAATATATCTACCACTATATCTATCATTATTGAGGTAATGGTTGCACTTTGGATTTAATGACTCTAGACTGTGTGTTACTATGTAATTTTGAGTTCTTTTTTCATTTTCCTATGAAGAATGCCCTCATACTATATCGATGGCATGTATTGAAAACTCAAATATTATAAATATATTAAGTGTATTAAGTGTACATTCGATCCCGATTGAAACAATATTTATAATGACAAAAAAGTTATATTTCATACAAAAAAAATATTATATAAATAGATGAGTCAATTAAAATTTATAACTAAATATGTTATCGAAAAATTTTAATACATTGGAACAATATTAAATTTCTAATTATTATTTATTACTTAAACAGATAATTAAAAAAAATTATTTTAAATTTCATGTTTTTAATTTCTTTAAATAAAATCAATCATTTTTAGCACGCCATTTGCCATTCGTAAGGTTACAATAGTAATTTAAATTCTGATCAAATGACGATAAATAAATTATATATAATACAAAAAAATAAAAAAAAACCTCCATTTTATATATATAAAGTCAACGCGAGTTAAAGCGAAGCGTTCAGAAGTCACAACGAAAATTTGCTGCACTTATCTTTAAGCAAGTGAGTTCACTTATGGTATGTGTAGGTAGTACCTACTAGGTACCAGGTGATATTGTATTGAAATTCGTATACATTGTAAGCAAAGTTTTCGATTAAAAAATTTTGCGATTAGGCACGTTTAATGCCATAAACTATGGGGATTTTTAAAAATCCCTAACCTAAAAATTACTCACTTCGCATACAAAATAGCGTCTCCAAAACAAATAAAAAAAATTAATCAAAATAAATGTTTACTTGAAAAAAAATAATTATAAATATAAAAAAAAATAAATATTCAAATAGTCTCAAATATGTATGTAAGTATATGGTAAGTTTATAAAAGAATATATATATATATATGTTAAAAAAAATAATTATAATATTTCACAAAAACTTGATTGAATTGATGAAATATTTTATATGCAATATTTTTTGAAGATTTTTTATTTATTTGCATATAGTATATAAATAATAATGCGAAGAAAAACGAGTCTACATTTTGTTGAATTGTGACATCCGCCTTCAAGCATTGACAGATCGAATTGGTGAAACAATTGGAGAAAATATTAATGGAGTTGATTTGGTAACAAAAGCCACAATCCAAACAAAAGTGAAATTTTATTGTTTTTTTTTTGTCATCACAGCACCATTGTAACCAGTGAGTATATGTAACACTGATGCAACAGGTTAACAGACGAAAGAAAATATGAGTAAAACATTAAACTAACAGGCATGAATATACTTTTTTTATTCAGTTGTGATTTACAATATAAAATTAAGTCACAGTTTTAAGCCATGACTGTGGAGGCCTTCTGCTAAGGCATGAATAATTACTGCGTTTCCTATGCGTAATCTTTTATGCGTTTTATGAACTCTGCAAGCAAACACGATTCACTATAATTTTAGTATGTAATACCCTTCACCGATCTTTCAATCTCATATATCTTAAATATTCAACAAATTTGAAAATGAGAAATCTTTAAGCAGCTGCATTTTACAGACATTACTCGGTAGAAATCTTGGTAGAAATAGAAGTAAACTGCTGTTAAGTAGTATTAGTGTTACGTTCTATTCAATATTTTTGGTGCTGTTAGCTAGCAATTTTAATGCTTAATAATAGGATTACTTTTTTAAATAGTTTTTATTATGCTATATTATGTTTAAATTGACATAAAACTACTTATAAAATATATGTCCTACAATATCAAAATTTTACCAAGTAAATGTCTCTCGAATAAAGTTGTATGTATGCACAATATATGTAATCAATATATGTATAAGTCAAAATTACAAGCTAACAGCACTAATACTAACTAGAATACTTATCATAAACGAAAACAAGAACTGTTTCACAAAACACCAAAAAAACTGCTAGCTAAAGCCTATTTCTCACACGTCTAAATTTTATTGATAATTTTTATAATAGGGAATCTGAGTTCTTCGTGCGATATGGATGTTAGTACCAGACAGTAAATTTTTTTTCATTTTTTATGCAACTGTTTTGTATTTGTTTTTGATACTTATTTTATCCATCTTTTAGTTGTGTAAACTAACTCGCAATTTTGCATTTGTTTTTGATACGTATTTCAGTCGTTTTTTAGTGCTGTTTGATAGCAATTTTGACTTTCGCTTATTTAATTACATATGCAATACATATATATGAATTTATTTGGAATGAAAAGGTTAACTTAGTATTTAGATATGAATTAAATTGCTAGGCCAAACAATATGCAGTAAGACTTTTTCAATGTATAATTTAATTATAATGCTAAGTAATCGTGAGAATTACATAAAAGTGTCCACAACTACTAACCTAACATTAAGAAAAACATTTTCTTCTTATTAACTTATAAGATAAACCCCCAAAATATATATTCAATCAATCAAATCGTCTTTTTATATATGAAAACTGAAAGCAAATCATAAAATTTCTTTATTAGTGAATTAAAAGCTCTCTTAAATGGATTCTCTCATAAACAGACATCTCTTTTAACAGTTTCCAGTTTAACAGTTTTCCGAATACAGGACAGTCCCATACGTGTCCACTTTAGAGAGATTTCGCTGCTTTCACAAAACTTATTATTTGCTTTGCACGTTAAATAAAACAATTATTAAAATCATAATCTTAATTATTTCTTCAATTACCCGCAACTACACCTACTCTATCACGTATTTTGGGTTATATTCGTAACTGATGGCAACGCCTTTCGACTGTTTTAAGCAATAGAAACGCCAACTAAATTTACTAACATTTATTACATTTAATTAAAAGAAATATTTCAGCACGTATTTTTTTTTTTATTCAAATAAAATTAAGTCTAATTAAATTTATTTAAATAATACTTATAAATAATGAAATGGGTTTGTCAGCTGTCAAGGACATACAAAGCTACCAGAATATATTGTTATTTATATTTAGGTATTATGTCATCTTATAATTGTTGATAAGTGATAAAAAGAACTTCATTACTTGAAAAATATAATCTGTATAAAATTTGCATGCATATAGAGTAAAATTATATATGTGGCATGAGCTCATGTTGACAGACAATATCTCTACTACTTACTTTCTATTATAGTAGAAATATATATATATATATATATATATTTATGTAAAAACAAATGCAAGTAAAAATAAATAAATATCTGGTTGACATGAACAAAACTATCTTCAAATAATAATGAACCGTGAATACAAGTAAGTATATATTTGAACATCTATTATATAGGAACACATGCAAATTAATAACTTACTTCTAAAAGTGTACACAATTTCTGTGCTAAAAGTGTATATAAATGTTTTAGAAAAGTGTTTTCATTTTCGACAGGGTACAATTAAAATTACACTAAAACTGAAAAAAAAATACTATCAAGGCGATAACCCGGCAACGACCTTTTTATTATGAATTGAGCGATACTAAAGTTGAACCATAAAAGCCCCTTTTCGAGGGCATTTTTGGTGCAGTAAATTAATCAAGAGACTTGTTAAAGGCACGATAAATAGGTCAGTTTTGCTGTTGTTAAAATGAAAATTACAAAAAAAAAAAAAAATATTGTATACAAAAACAATAACATCAGCAACGCAGTTACAAACAATATAAAAATAAACTCATTTCATGGGGAAAGGTTTAAAGTGGGCAG